ATAGGTCTTAAACTCATTAATCTATCAGAGTACTTCATTTCTATCAATTTATTTTAAAGTTTACAAATTAAGAATGATAACCAAATTAAAGCTAAACAAGAAAGAAAGTTTTGCGTTAGTTTTTATTAATTTAAAAAAAACTGCACACCAAATTTAAAATTTTAAGAAATCAAAATTTTTGGCCATTTTTGCAAATTTTAATGATGTAACCCCTTATCAAATTTCGCGAAAATGGCAAAAAAATCGATTTCCGGACATGTCTAGAAAGATTCCCCTGTTGATGCTGATCAAGAATATATATGGTTTATGGGGTCGGAAATGATTCCTTGACTTAGAAAAATATTATTTTGTATTATAAAATCGAATTTTTTATATTAAAAACTTCCTAATTTTTTTAAAATTAAAAATATCATAAGTCGGCCAAAAGAGCATTAATTTTAAGTTGGAAAACTGTTCTGTGCAAGATTTTCTACAGTTAATAAATCTGCATACTTCATTAAAAAATTTTGAAAATTCAATTTTTTATCAAAATCAAAAATTTTAATGATGTAACCCCTTATAAAATGTTGCAAAAATGGCCAAAAAATCGATTTCTTCCTGTTATATCTAGAAAGATTCCCCTGTTGACGCTGATCAAGAATATATATACTTTATAGGGTCGGAAACGACTCCTTCAATGCGTTGCAAACTTCTGACTGAAATTATAAAAATTTAAATATGGCTAAAACAGATTTTAAGCAATAAAATTAAATATGAAAAAGTCTTTTCCTACACTCAGCCCAATCGATATCGAATCCATCTAGATAAAAGCAGGAAATCGTTGCATAAAAACGTCGGATGCAGCTACCAAAACGAAAACGAAGTGGCTGCCGAGAGAGATTTCTTGGCCATGTAATGCCTGCCAATTGGCACAAAGACCATACCATATATATGGTGCATATAAAAACCTCCTCCAGAAAGTGCGCTCCATGAGCAGCTGCAGCGGGAGCAGCAACAAACTCATAAAAAGGCGCAGAGAAACGAGCAAGAAAACTTTACTAACGACTTAAACGACGATTGAATGGCGGGGGGATCGGGGGAATCAAGGAGAAAGCCGATGGCTAGGACTCTCGTGGAGGCCTTAGAGCTCGGGTCTCGTGACTGGAGAATCGGAGAAACGGAGAGTCGGTGAGCAGGAGTTCGGTTAGCAGCCGAGTGGAAGGTTAGCTGCAGTTTGGACAGTAATAAAAGTAATAACAACACCAGTGCATCCTGCACATACCCCCACTGCACGCAGTACATAGGGCGTATATACCTCTCTCTGGGCTTGGATTTGTGTACAGCGGCTCCTGTAACTCTTCCACCTCCTGCCACATGGCCCTGCGCAGAGTCGCTTTATGCGCGTTAATGGCATCGTTTACTGGCTAACTGTACGTGCATATATATGTATATATATTAATAGGTATATGTATCTGGCCAAGCAGATCGACATGCATATATAGTTATATATATGTAGCTGTATATATGGGGAAACGGTGGTATATATCTCCCTGTATTCCGAGTGGGGCGGTGCAACGGCGACAGCTGCAGCCTGTCGTGCGAGAAAGTCGACAAAATATTCGTGCCAAGTGGGCGTTACCAACGCTTCCCGAACACTTTATATAAATATTGTATAATGTGTGTATTATTTTCGATTGTGCTCAAAGTGACTAAAATGTTCGGTGATTAAATAAGAGACGGATTCAAATTGACATGCAGGTGCCGTCAGGCATTGTGACCTGAAAATTTCGATTGAACATATGAATTTGGAACTTTTTAAAAATTTTATAAAAACTTTTAGATAAAAGCAAGCAATTCTGGGGAAAATTCAACATTAAAATGAAATTCTTTTAAATATATATGTATAGGATTAAAGATAAGATAATTATACAATATCATTGACAAGCTTAACACCTCAGGGTTTACCAGTTTCTCCTGGGTGGTTTTATTCAAGGGAATCCTTAAAGTTTTTTAAATCAGATTACAGCGTTTAAATTAAAAACTATAAAACATTTTAAACATAACTTCATAAAAATCCAAAATATATTACCCTCGACGGGTTATTAAAATGTAAATATTTATCCATAATTTTAGATGATAATTTTTGGAAAAATTAACGCTAAAAAATAAGCTAAAACTGAAAAATTAATTTCAATCCGAAAGCTGTTCTGAGTTAGTTTTTACAAGGTTATTGAATCAGCATACTGAATTCTTCAAATAAATATAATATTTATCCATTATTTATTACTTATTTGTAAAATTCTTCAGACTCGAGGTCTCCAGTAGGCTTCAATTTTATAAAAATCAAGGGTGCTACTTGGCTAAAAACAACAACAAGAACTTGTCAATAGACAAGTAGCAGTTGTGGTTACGATCATTTCATTGGCGCTACCCAAATCATCAGACCACTTGCTCAGTATTGCTAATTTTCTTGGTACTTTACTAGCTAGAACCCGTTGGGAATCCTAAGCGTCGATGCGAAGGCAAAAGCAAACCGCAAAAATCGGAAATTGTTCTTTTTGTTGTTGTTAATTTTTATATGATAATTTTTTTAACAAATCAAAGTTTGAATAGAGATCATAACTTGAAAGAAAACAAAATGTTTGCCAATTTTCGACAAGTTTATCAAATTTTGAAAAAACCAAAATGGCAAAATAAATGTTCCCCTTCGGAAAAGGCTTGAAAAACCCGCCTGTTGCTGCTGATCAAGAATATTTATAAATTTATAAGATCGGAAACAACTCCTTTAGCCTGAAATTATAATAACCTGCAAAAGTAAAGTAATAATTCCACAATTTCAACTTTATTCAAATAGACATAAAAAAAACTGAAAGTGAAGTCTTTTAAGACCCCATTAAAATGGTCAATTGCTTTGAAATGATACAGTTTTTCGCATTCAATGATTGCTCTCGGCTGTCTGTGCTCCAAATTGAAGCTTCCATTGCTAATTGAGACTAGATTATTTCTATTGCACTCGATAATTTAGCATGGTGTTATTAAAATGTTGTTTTACAATGCCCAATGGACATGCAATTTAATATGCAAAATATCCTCCGTGGCCACGACGCGGCTGCGGGAGCAATAAATCAATTTATTAGATTTATTTGCGGCCAATAAAATAATTTGAAAACATAAAAAAAAGGAAAAAAAAATGCCAGCACTGCCCACTAATGGCTTAATTACTAAATTAAAAAGGCGCAGACAGCGAGGCAGGCAAGTGTTCGCGTTCGTGTTCGTGTGAGCTGCTCAGGTGAGCATTAAAACAGGAAGTTGAGGCGGAGGCACTGCTCCGCAAACCGAGAAACTTGTTTTCGCCTCAAGTTCGCACACGCAAAGTGAGTGCGCCAATGCAAATCTTGCACTGCAATTTCCCTGCAACTGCCGCTGTGTTGCATGCAACAGCAGCAGCAGCAGCAGCAGCAACATGGGCAGCCCCAACAGCAACAAGAGCACCAGCAGCAGCAACAGCAGCAGCAAAAACACATCAAAGGAGCCAACTGAGAGCCATAATAAAACGGGCCAATGGATATGAAGCTCCGCCTACAACGAAACTACCAACAACGATGTTGCTGTTGCTCTTGCTGTTGCGGTGTTGTTGCTGCTGCTGCTGTTGTTGTGTAGGTAAAAACAAGAAAAAGAAAAAATGGCTGGCGATACGAAGAGCATAATGGCATAAGCTCGGCGAGAGACAGAGAAAGAGAGAAGGCAAGCAATGAGAACGAATGGAGACTCACACCCGAGGCCACATGAATATTGCGAAAGCGAATCTTGATAGATAGTAGTTTCCCAGGTGTTTAGTTAAATTAAGAAATTATTTAACAAACCTGTTTTAAACATTATTAAAAGAGGTAGATATTGAATAACCTGCTAAAAATACACACTGAATGTTTAATGCTTGATAAAAAAATGTAATTGAGAAGCATTAACTTTAAAATTCTTGATATTATAATTTAATTTAAAGTAAAAATATTATTCTAAATTACAAATCTATCTTTTTATAGAAGAAATTAACTAAATAAAATTCTAATTATTGAAAATTCTCATTATTAATATGTTTCTTTTAATTTTTTGAAATTTCCAAACGATTATTATAACCCAACAATGAATTTAAATTCTCACAGTTTCTTTAAAAATATGTAACTAAAATTGTATATTAAATATATTCCCACATTGTATCTGAAAAGTTAGTACAATGGAAGATAAGTATATGCAATATGTACATATATAGATTTCAATTGGCTAAGGCTTAGATCTAACGTCTCGCAATAAAATAATAATTAATGCCTGAAATGAGCCTGCTTAGTCAACATCGTTTTTGCGGGATTACTTCCATTGTAAATCGTAACTTTTTTATACCCCAGTTCAGTATCAATCGGTGGTTCCCGTATTGAGTTGCAATTTATGCCGACGTTTTAGCCGCCATGTTTACGTTGCATATTGCTTGCTGTCTGGCGGCTCTGCAATGGCTGCATTTTTGCAGCCTGGCGAAATTCAAGGAAGAATGGCTCCATTTTTATGGTCAAGTCGATTTGTTTGTTTGTGTGAAAGAGATTTGTCAATGAAGCTAATGGCTGAGATCGATTGCAGATCGTTGATGAACGGGAATCATGGGAACGAAGAAGAATTTTACGACCATTATCTCGTTTGTGTTTATTTTTCAGGCTAAGACATTCTCCCAGACATTGGCTATTTGAGAAATATTTCAATTATATAGTTAACAAAATGAAGAAAAAACCAACTGTCGCTAGATAATTGCAGAAAATTAAATAGACCTCGAGACAAGTTATAAAAACGGTAATTGGTTTAAAAAATGTTACCTCCTCAAGTCGAGGAACCATTAACGTTTAAACTGTGGGCCGTACTCGGTTGTTTTTTTCGAGACTGATTGTTAAATAAATTGCAAAGACCGATGCCAGATCGATTAATTGACTTAACTAACGACTTTCCTTTCCTTTGTTGCTTTTTTTTTGTGTTATTTTCAGGCCAAGACGTTTTCCTAGACTATTGCCAAAAGCTATTAGAGAAATTCCGCTATCCCTGGGAGCTGATGCCGCTCATGTATGTGATATTGAAGGATGCAGACGCCAATATAGAGGAGGCTTCCCGGCGAATCGAAGAGGGTAAGTTTGCCAGCCCGATCGGGCTCCCCCAATAAAGCCTCCAAACTGGTTGCGTGGACGCTTAATCAATGGCAAATGTCTTTTGATCTGATCCAAACCAGGCCAATACGTTGTGAATGAGTACTCCCGTCAGCACAATTTAAATATCTATGACGGGGGTGAGCTACGCAACGCAACACGGCAATGTGGATGATAATTTTTCATGAACTAGAGTAACGTAAATGCATTACTTTGCCCTGAAATTTATTGTTCAGCATTAGCATCACTTAATAGCTTAATGCTTTGGTGAAATCGCGCAAGAATTTAACTTTCGTAACTTCGTAAGTGCGGTACCGTAGAGTTTTTTTTGGAGGGGCGAAGCCTCTGTACATATGTATATCGAATTTATCGGTAAGCTAAAGCGCCACTTGGATTATCTTCAATCAACAAGCCAAATATATCGATGTGTGATGCCCCTTTTCATCAATCAACATAACCCCAATGCTGAGATGTCTGATGACTGGCTGACTGATGATCAACAATCAACAATCAACAATCAACATTCAACTCTTCTCTTCAATCAACAATCCCCCAATGGATCCTTAACAACAAGCAACGAATCGAAGCCAAGAATGTTAATTTAAATTTAAAATCCGCGTAATCTAAAAACAACAATCAACAGTCCACGATCCTCATCTCAACTGGAAGTTCAACATTTTCGCACATCGGTTGTATAGCTTTAGTTTAGCGCTCCTTAAGTCTTATTTAAAAAAAAAAAAGAAAAAACTAATTAGGCTAATTAAGGGTCCGCAATCTGATTATAGCCATTCTCGTCAGTCACTACTCGTGTTACTCTTTGGTCGCTTTAGTACTTAATTGAATCTAAGTACAAAGTATTCATCTACTACTACTAAATATCAGCTACTTGTAATGGAGGAAACGATGTTCTATACTCATTCAAATAGACTTGAAAGCTGCTAATCTCAAAAAATTCCTCTCTACGCGTCTGAATCACATGAAGTAATATTTCAATTGGCATCCAGGGGATCTTGCTATCAGAAATGTTGTGAGATAATGCACAAATGATGGATATATACATTTAGGCTAACGTTAACTCTATCGATGTCTTGCGAAACTCTAATTGTATTATTTAATAATAACAATAACTCCCCTCGACATTGTAACATATACTGTTATCAACTTAAGTAAGACCTAGCCCAGCAGAATACTTATTATAAAAAAAAAAAGGATAAACCTGAATTGTCAGAAATAAACTATTTTCCTTAAACAGAATCACTTAAACGAAGCGATAAGTTTAGCTTTGATTAATGAAATGGAAATGGAAGCCAGAAAATTCCCCGGAAATCCCACCGAAGCCGAAGTATCAGCTGTTGTTTGTTTTGTTGATGACATTAAAAATCGTAACGATTGCTTTTCAAGTTGTTGCCATTTCACGAAACCATTACCGTTGCACGTCCCAGCAGATGAAGTTTCCCGATGCCGAGGCACAGAGTCTGGGAGCTAGGAGTTTGCAGCTGGGAGCTGGGAACTGAGAACTGGGAAGTGGGAACGAGGAGTAGCCGTAGCCTGTGTCGCCACTGCTGCTGGGATCGTAAATGCATCATTAAACCGAAAAATGCATGCGAAAAATTTACGACATTGCCAACACCGTAGCCAAAAGCCTTGCACTTGAAAAAAACGATATTTTGTTTCTGTTTTAATTTTAAATAAATTAACATCTTAGCTTAGCACAGCCTTACAAAGCAAGATTTCTCAAGCTTTAACTTTAAATCTTCTTTGTCTTTAAAACTATTTAATTTTAACCACATTTTCTTACAATTCCCAACTGTTTTTAGCCAAAACTCATATCAAATATTTAATATTTATATTTATAGATTTATATAACCATTTTCAATTAAGATTTTTCTGTTAAATTCTGATCTCAGACAAAAATTTGTTATTAGAAAACATAAGAGTAACCCTAAAGTTATAGATTTTGTTCAAGTGTACAACATTTGAGCTTGTGGAAATCTGCTCTAGTCTCCATCGCCTCTGTCCGCCACCAGGTAGCTGAAATACCCGCACTCCTCCGGCCGTAACAGCTCAACACCCCTGCTCGGCACTAAACACGTCACGGCGGAATTTTTAGGAATCGCTGGGAGAATCTCAAACTCAAATCTCCTCTGTGGGTTACTCCCGGGGTAGGCAATGGCATTGGCAATGGCGACGTGTAAATGTGGGCACCATAAAGCTTAAAAGTGTTTATGGTTGAATTGTGCGCGTAGAAAGGGAAGAATCGCTCGAGCCCTACATGTGAGGAAAAAGAGCATTTGATGCCAGAGGATTTGAGGGTTTTATTGAAATGCCCAAGCTGCGATTTACTTTATGCGCCGAAGGAGCTTATAATGTGAAGAATTTTCCACAAAAGGTGTTCTTTTTTATTATTAAAAGTTAAAAAAAAAAAAAAAGTATTCTAGGAAGCCTATTCTATTCTAGAATACTATTTAATTCCTAAAAATAATTTAATAAAAATATACAGGGTAGATTTTCCTTGCTCTTTTCGCCGTCAATAATTATTTGTTCAAAAATCTAGCTTAAGTTAGTCTTACTTTTAATCCACGCCCAATTAACCAACTTATTAGTTAATACATCCTTCTAGTTTAACATCTAGTTATTCAGTTTTTAGCGCCTTTTTAATCTTGTGCATGACTCTTGTGCGTGACTCAGTGGATTTAAGTAGTAAACTCTAAACTATGGAATCTAGCGCGGACGCAGGAAATAATTTTACGACACATTCCCATATCCTGACGTTGGCTCATATTTGCAGCGACGCCTTTCTTTGCTTTCCCATAAAAAATAGACTCGCTAGAATACACCATTTTGTACGGGGCGCTATAACAAGCTGCAGGCCGCATCATCATCATCATAATCATCATCATGGCAGTCATCGCAGTCATATGGCTTTGTCCCGGCTCAAACCAGTCCAGTACGAATTCCTTTCCACTTTTGTCCCATACACATTTACCAATGCTTATTAAAAACTATAGGAAAGTGCAGACCCAGCGGCAGCAGGAAGCAAAAATTTCCAACTTTACGACTTCATATTGTGGGTGGATCGTAAAATATTTGTGCAGCGTCAACTTCTAGACCTCGTCTACTTACTGCCACCGCCACCGCCACCGCCACCAAGTTTCTCGCTACTGTCATTTTTACTGCCCGCCGAGTTACAAGCTGCCACTTGTGCCAGACATCTGATCCACATATATAGACAATCATGATTTATCATCGTCCCGGCCTGGTGTCCTAGCTCGCTAAATAATAAGCAACCAGTTTGTCATAAAGGCTGCTACCAGCGTAATCGAGCTGGACATAGCTATGCCCATGCCCCGGATGCCTTTACTCCTTCCTTCCGTTTGCTGAAGCCAACTCAACCGTGAACTCATTGTCGAGGTTTTGTGGCCTGCAAACCCTCAGATTATAAACCTGCGGCAAGAGGAAGCACAAATAATTGCATAGCAAAAAGCATGAGTAATATTTTGCCATAAACTAGAAGAAGCCTGAGCTATATTTTGGTCATATTCCCACTTGAGCACACTTATAATTTAACTTTTTGTTATGTTTTTTTAAAAGTTTAAATTGTACCCTAAAAGCTAAGACATTTTTAAGACCAAAATAAAGGTACTGTGTAGGGAATTATACATGTTAAAAGTATTACCTAAGAAACCAAAAAAGGGCATTTAGAATACAAAACTACAAAACATTATAGATTTAGATATGTTTAAAAATGTCTTTCTAAATTATACCTCTAATCCCAAATTTCCTGGATCATTAAGACAGATTTCCTTGTTCTTTTACTATAAGAAATAATTATAAAAATCGTAATGTCCCCATTTCAGTTGACTTATTTCATTACCCAGACCCAAAGTCCCAGTCAAAAGTTGTGAGAATTCATTTAGACTTTCCTTACGAAATTATTGAAAGGCAGAGAAGGTGCTACCCTGCTCGAAAATCCATTCCTCTAATTAAGCCAACGCCAGGACTTGGTTTATGGACTAACCCAAGGAGAGTTGGCTATATATTAGCAAGTACTTTGATGGGAAGGATGCCCTCTGCACACCCCAAAAAACCCAACCTTCTTGGGTCACAACTTTTTTACGACTTTTTATTATTTCGTCAAATCGCACAATGGTCGGCAGCATTGGCATTAGTTGCGAATAGGTTGGCCACGGACCTGGCAGGTCTCCCATCTCCCATCAGCTCCTCCCAAGGAGCACAGCTTAGCGATGGGATGGGATGGGGCAGGGAGGCACGCTCATGCGTAATTCTCTCTCGTATGCTCTGGCCCTGTTTAATGCATTCTGCAGTTGGCGGAAGAAAAAATCCCATTAAAATTAAGTAAAATTGCAGCAGCAGCAGCAGCAGCAGCAGCGTAATCGTAAAAACTTGGCATTTTGATGTTGCAGCAAGCAGTAAAATTTTGAAAAGTTTTTGCCACGCAGATAAGGCGGGGAGTCAGCGGAAGACAAAGGCTCCTCTTGCCCGGCCGTGGCCCGAATGGGTACGGGTACTGGAGCTGGGATTGCGATGTGGATGTGGATCTGAGGGCGTGGCACCCGGGTAGGGGCTTATTGTGTGAGCACCGTGCGAAGGTTGCACATAAAGTGCATACCTGGGCCATAGGTGGGCCTGGCCTCGCTCAGGAGTCGGGTGACTGGAGTCCGGGCCAAAATGGCGTATATCTGAGCCGGCGGCCCCGGGTGGCATAGACATTTAGTGCGAACTGTAGTTAATATTATGACCAGCTCACCTCTGATCTTTCGTATAAAGTGTGTAAAATAAACTCAATAACTTGGGTATTATTTAATTTAAGTGTGTTTTGAAAAAATACTTTAAAGATTCCTAAGAAAATTAATTTTAAATATTTTATACTGATTTTATTAAGATTTTTCTTAGCTACTTAAAATGTAAACTTTTATACAAGTCACCTTTAATTTATATGTCTTAAATTTTGATCTTAATTGGAGGTAAGCCATTCCGTAAAGATAGTTACCTCAATCTATCAGGATTATTTACTGAAATAAACAGTTTAAATTATTACAAACACATTTAAATAAGTTAAACCCCCTATTAAATCTCTTTTAAAGATCAGAATTTCTTATTATTTTGTGATTTCCAGACTGTTTTCCCTCATTAAGGCTTGTCACAGCTCACATATAATCATTATTTTTTCGTTAATTCTCAGCACGCGTCGAGATAAACCGCATAGTAGCCCAGATCTATTACAACTACTACACCCCGATGGCGCTGGTGAATGGAGCGCCCATGTACCTGTATCCAACCATCGAGCACGGGCGCTACGGAACACACTTCACCCACCTACCGTTCTCCCATATCCGTCCGCCTACGCCAGAACCGCTGGCCCTTAGCCGCTCGCCAAGCAGTCCCAGCGGACCGGTGACCAATCTTCATCCAAAACACTCGCCGACAAGGTCGCGGCCAGGTAGCAGCATTAGCACTGTACACTCCGCCGCCTCGCCCACTATGGTGACCACAATGGCCACCACCTCCTCAACGACGCTAACGCTTAGCCGGCGACCAAGGTCGCGCTCGGCTTCACCAACGACGCCTACTACGCCGCCGCCGGCGCATAGCAGCAGCAATGGATCGTACCATCATGGGCATCACCTGGTCAGTTCCACGGCTGCCACGTAGCAGTATCGCAACGTTGCTGCCGCCGTGGCAGCAGCGGCAGCGGCTGCTGTCCTCTTTGTGTAAGTGATACTTGAACTTGTTTCAGAGATATTTTATGGATTACAGAAATCGAAGGAGTACTTGCTATAGAATTTATTAAAGTTGTGGAGTTAATTCTAATAATGATAATTAAATTAAAGCCCATAAAACACTATAAATATTTTATTTTGGTTTTACGCTTGAACTTTGACTATAAAATTTATTATAAATAACAATTCTTCAGGAGCCTTGCAAATATTTAGCTATTAATTTGCCTTTTATAAAACACATACTCCTTATAAGGTTGAAAATCAGTGTACATTGTTTCAGTATTTTATAGATTTTATCAGGATTTTCCAAATATTTCAATTGAAATGAGAAAATTGTTAAAAAACCAACAAAACATCAGCAATTTGTTTAAGGGGGTTGAACCAAGTGACTCCCGTTTTTGGAACGTTTTTTGAAACCGTTTCCTGAAAAGCGCTTAAGATTTAGCAATTTGAATTCTTCAAAAGTTATTAAGAAAAGTATAAAGTATTTTTCAACATTTTTTTTTGAGTCGA